GGTTGGCGCAGGATAGAGCAGGGTTTAGGGCTGTTGTGCATAGGGTCGCTATGAGTCAGAAAGGACTCAAGGGCACATAACAACAACATAGCAAAGGGCAGGTTAGTTAAACTTCAGCCTTTGAGAATTCCAATTCACCCATTATGTGTACTGGGGAACCCTCAGTATTGCCAAAATGCTTCAAAGCAGCGGGACAGAACTGCTCAAAATCCACAGAGGAGTGAGGGCACATGAGGAAAGACTGCACAGCCAGAGATGAATGTGATTCAAAAGGAAAGGGGAAGTCGCCAGTTATGACCATTTACTGGAAGACCATCTCAACAGGAAATGGAATTAAAACACAAGCTCACATTTTCTATACATTGAACAAGTTTCAGCTCTAGCAATCGCTAAGCCAGCACTTGAGGGAAAGCAGTAAAGTCTGAGCCCTTTGCCCTCTTCCACTGGAAATTCTCTGAGCCCCCTTCCTCAGGAGGCAGGGCAAACATCATTATGACCTTTCAAATTTAGTCCAGTCCCTCCAGAACAGCCAGGCTCCTCAGGAAGAGATGTCTCACTGAGAAAAAAGAAAATGCATTTAGCTGGGAAGACAGAGCAAACCAAAGTTGACCTTTCTTAGCTAGAGGTCATCTGGAAACAGTAGAAGGAAGCCACCAGGAAGGAGTAAGGGAGGTGTAACTTCGTTAGGGGCGGGAAAAATGCAGTCGCCCTGCAGCTATAGGGAGAGGAAATCCAGGGTCTGGGCATGCTTTCAGGACCTCTGCAAGCAGCCTACCCTGGGACTCTAGCTCTACTATAACAGACTCTGGAGGCTCTGAGCTCACTCCCTGCCCTCACCAATCTGAAGCCTCTTCTTAATTTTGGCAAAACTCCTTTGTGGAGAAGGTAGGTAGGGAGTCTAGGGGAAGGGGAGTGCCTGCTGTCTTTCAGACAGAAAAATGCAGGCAAGTGTTTCATATAAAGCTCTTTGAATGTTCTGCTATTTTCAGAATTCAGAACCTTGATTGAGGAAGTCTGGGAGGTAAAAGAACTCCTTCCATTCACCTGGTAGACTGCCCAGTAGTGGGTGGTTTTGACCACTACCGGGCCACTGTTTACCACAATGTAACAACCTGTCCCAGTTATGTTGCCTGGGTTCTTGCTAGCAAGAGGAGCTGTACTCTGGAGCCCATGTCCTGAGTTCCCCAGGGTCCCTGCTCACTCCCAGTGAGTCCTTACCTGTCTCCTGCTCACTCAACTGGCCTGTGTCCATTTTTAATTTTTTAAAAAGACTGACCCACTCCACAAGAAAAAGATTGATAACCCAATTACAAAATGGGCAAAAGACATGGAAAGACTTTTCGCAGAAGAAGGTATTTGAATGGCCAACAGACACATGAAGAAATGTTCAAAATTACTGGCAATAAGAGGTGCAAATCAAAACCACAATGAGATACCATCTCTCTTCAATAGCAGTGGCAAAGTTTATCAGGACAGCAAGTAATAAACGTTGGAGAGGATGTAATGAGAAAGGAACTCTCATACATTGTTGGTGGGATTGTAAAATGGTACAACCACTCTGGAAGCAGTTTGACGCTTCCTCAAAAAGCTGAACATAGAAACTCCATAGGACCCAGATATTCCACTGCTTAGAATATACTCCAAGAAAATGAGAACTAAGGCTCAAATGGAGGGAGACTTGTACACCAATGTTCACAGCAGCATTATTCACCAACACAAAAACATGTAAACAGCCCAGATGCCCAACCAATCAAATGGATTAAGAAATTATGGTACATTCATATAATGGAATACCATGAAGCACACAGGAGCAATGATTTCGTAAATTATTACCTAACTTGGAAGGGACTGGAGAGCACTATGCTGATTTAAAGAACTCAGTCTCACAAAGACAAATATTGTATAAAACCATTATTGTAGAATGAGTATGAGGATCCCAGACGGGCAGGGAGGAGAAGAGGGATAAGGATGTGCTGGGGGGGCGGGAGAAACTAATCAAGGGGTTGTACAATTTGATGGGTGTGGGGTGAGGGAAACGGAAAGAATCTGGTCTGAAAAACAATGTATTCAAATTTTATAAATAAACTAGTATAATAATTTTTAAAACCCTAATATATTATTAACATTTATATTTTTTTAAAAAAGAAGTTACACTCATCAATCTTTGCAAAAACCTTCTGTTTACTATTAGGCGGCAAAATAAGCTCCACCCAGTCAACTTCTACGTTGAATTAAATGTAATATTTAAAAGGGATCGAGGGGAGGGGAGGGAAAGAGGGTAGTGACTACAGTACACAATATACCAGAGGAAACATCCATCCACCTAATACAAATCACAGATTTTTCTTTTTAAAAATTTGATGGGTGGAGGGAGGGGTTGAGTGAAGAAAATGGAAAAGATCCAGTGTGGAAAACAGTATATGCAAACTTTGTAAATAAAGCAATATTTTAAAAAAGTTACCAAGGAACTGGATTCACAACTTAAAAGGAAAGTGATGGAGAGTGTCCTCCTCTCAGAGTACATTCTCAATCCATAATTAAGACAAAACCCAGAGCTGTCTCCTTCAACTCTGGGAGGCAGCTTGGAAAGGATGTGTCCTTCCTGCCTCACCCCCACATAGACAGGGCCTGGATCCGTTTTGCTTTTCCCTCCTAACAACGCACCTCCCAGCTGGTTCATGTCCGGATCCTTGGGACAGAGGCAAGCTGCCTCAGTCATGGCTGTTTTTCTGAAGCTTTGGGGCAATCTTAAAATGCTGTTCATGAAACTGTGCATTATAAACGCTTCCCAATTTTGCATTTCCTTATAGTGTCTGCACACTACCTTTTTCTACTTCATAAATTCTCCACCTTCCCTCACCCCTGTGGTTTGTACTTGAAACTCTCATACCCACTGACAAGATTCCAGAGAGTTCCTTGCCACCCCACCCCCGACACCCCCAGCAACACTTCTCCAGGCAGTAACAAATACAAGGACATGCAATGACTATAGATTTTCTTCTGAACCCTTCATGACGTTACAAGTGGGAAGGAAACACAAGAATCAAATCTGTTTTCTCTTCTCCCTTTCCTCCCAATCTTTTTGGAGGTACCGCTCCCTACACCCAGAAGGAGGACCACTAACATGAAGGTCCACCTCCACTTTCCTACTCTCCCCAACACACAGAGAGACAGAGAGAGAGAGAAAGAGAGAGAGATAACTTACCTCGCTGGGCTCAACAATGGCCACGTTCTCTGCACCTACTTTCCTCTTCATCCGGGCAGCCATGGTGATGCCACCACTGCCCCCTCCCAGCACCAGCACCTCATAGTAGCTCTTCTCTGGACACTGAGCTCCTATGTGCAGCTGAAGTGAGCCAGCTGGTGGGGTGCCCAGCCTAAGAAGGCAGGCAAAAAGCCGGGTGCGGGGACCAGACACCAAGGGGACCAGCGGGGCCATCTTTAGGGTGGGTCAGGCTAGAAGGAAACAGATAAGGTTGTTAGTGTTAAGGGGGACACAGCTGTGCCCCCTTTCTTTCCGAAAGGAGGGGAGGCTGACTTCTGCCCAGCTCCAGCAGCTGCTCCCAATCATCTCTGAAGACCAGTTTCTCCTTGGTCTCCAAGGTCTCCTAAGAGTTCCATTGTTAGGTAACAATTGGCTAGATTTTTCCCTTTCTCCCGTTTCACCTTCTTTTATACTATCTAGGCTGCTGTTAGGAAGGAAGGGGTCCTAGCAGCCCAATTGTTGAAGTGCTCAGCTGCCAATGAAAAATCAACTCTTCCAACCCACCAGCTCCTGCATGGGAGAAAGATGTAGTAGTCTGCTTTGGTAGAGATGATGACCTTGGAAACTGGATGAGACTAATTACACTGTCCTACAGGGTCACTGTAAGTCAGGCTCAGCCAGAATGGATTTGGGGTGGGAGGAGGTGGTTAGGATGTGGTTGTGTGCCCAGGAGTGGCACAAATAGCTTGTACTCAACATAAACATAAAGGCTTGCCAATCAAACCACCCAGTGGCACCATAGAAAAAAGCCTAGGATCTGCTTCTGTAAGGATTACAGCCAAGAAAGCAAGAGCAGGTCTACTCTGTAACACCTGCGAATCAACTCAGTGGCAACAGGTTTAGTGGTTGGGCTTGGTTTATTTCTTTCCTGTTTGTCTGTTTGTTTAGGGTGTTGGCTTAAACCTCACCCTTTTAGGTCTTCCCATAATTTGTGTCCATCCCCCATGTCCACCCATAAAATTCAGGGTATTATGTTGGGTCCAACAGCCAGCCACTCTCCTCGCAGGCATATTCCTCATTTCATCTTTTGAGTTTCAATCTCTCAAAAATTGATTTATGAGTTTACTATAGTGAAACTTTTCTAATATCTCACGGAGGGCACCAGAGAATGTGTTGAAATGGAAGTAGCCCAGGAAGAAACCCTCCTGGTTATGCAGCAGGAGGATGCATTTCAGGCAAGTCCTCAGAAGCAGATTCAAGCAAAGGCCCTCCTCCACACTTTTAGTAATTTTAACTAGATGACTGAAAAAGAAAAAGGGGAAAAAAACACAAAAGGAGCCCCATCCAGTACCATCAGGTTATATTTTACTTACAAAATCTGCAGACACTGATGACTGGTCTTTTATTATATCCAATCCAGTGTCAGATTACTCAATAGACAAGGTAAACACAGGCTTGCTTGTGTGTATTTACTAACCTGTGCTGAACAATTTCACATTTTCTTTTCCCCACATCAAAGCTTCTGCTTCTAGCTATGACTGGCCTCTGTCTCTCTCACCACCACACAGTACCTTCCTACAGAATCAAAGCCTCTTTTTAAATTCATAATCCCTAACAGGGCCTAAGTGAGTACCCAGTAAGCAAGGTGAGCATGGATTAACTCATAATTATTTACTAATCCATAGTGAACAGTTTCACGTTCAGTACAGATTAGTAAACAAGCACAAATACGCCTGTGTTTTCCTTGCTTATTGAGTTGTATGCCTCTGATCAATTCCATAAACAACCTCCCCTCGATAGCTCTCTCTCTCTCTTTCTCTTTCAGAGATACTCTTTAAGGGGAAAGATGTTTCTTTTCCTAAGCAACAGCTAGAGGGTTCTGGTAGCCTAGTGGGTAAGGAGTTATGCTGCCAACCTGAAGGCAAGTGGTTCAAATCCACCAGCTGCTCCTCAGGAGAAAATTTAGCAACCTCCTCTCACACCGTTTACAACTTCGAAAAACCTGCTGCAGAGTGAGCTCTAAATTGGTTCTGACTAGACAGCACTAAGTGGGTGACTTGAACAGCTTGGACTTTGACAGCAGGAAACTAAAGTTCTCCAAGACTGGGGTATTTGTCATCCTGTCCACAAACTAAGCCTTTTATATAGGGCATCATCTACTTGGTTTAATTGGAAAGGCCCAGACTCAAAATATCTCCCTCTGGACATTATCGTGTCCCAAATCCTGCCATTATGTCCAGTGCTTTGGGTCAAATACTACTCCAGGAACTCTATTAAAATGCAAATACCCAGCTGGGGAATAATGCTTTTAGCTGCTAAGGTCACTGGCTTCTTAATGGAAATAATCTAATTATATAATTTTCTTTCTTACTAGAGAAGAGAGTAGGTTCACAAGGGATTTAGAGAAAGGTAAAAAGGGGTTCTGAAAGCAAGAAGGAAAGGGAAGGGGATTTGGAGGAGAAATACAGCTGTCTGCTCCTGTGAAGTCCTGGAAACCCTAGAGGCAGCTCCTGGAGGTAAGGGAAATGGAATCAGAAGAGGGAAAAAGAAGCAAACCAAACTTTACTTCATCCTATACTTTTGGCACCCCTGACAATGTCCCCAATACTTCAGATCTGAGATACAGCCCAGAGCTGTGGGAAGAGCTTGGGAGGCTCAAAATAAGTGAATTAACTCCTATAAATATTATAGATGCCAGGTTAAAATTAGTATAGACCTTAAGAAAGTAGCATTTATCATCCTTTGGCCCTACATTTCCATTTCTGAGAATCTAGTCTAAGAAGATAACCTGTAATATTTTTTAAAAGGGAGAAAATACTACAAACACAATCCTGGATGAGATGGATTGACACAGTAACTGGGATTATGGAGGGTGTATTGGAGACAGTGAGACTGGCTCTGGATAGGGCAGGGTTCAGGGCTACTGTGCATAGGGTTGCTATGAGTTGCAGATGACTCGACAGCACATAACAAAAATAACAACAGCTGGAAGGTTAGCTATGAGTTGGTTCCAACTTGGCTGAATGAGAGAAAGAGAGAGAAAGGAAATTTATCAAATGTTAATAATGGCTTTGGTAAGGTTTCTTTATATTTCTCAACTTTGTTTTTCTCCAGTTTTTTTAATGGCCCCCACATTTTCATTTTTTTAATTACCTCATTTTATTTTGGGTGAGATAGAGGAGTGGAAATAAGTAGCAAGCTGGACATTACTATCTGAAGAAGTGCTATGGTGAATACACAGTGTTATATTGTCTTTCTAGGGAGCTCTGGTGGCCTAGTGGCAAGAAGTTGTGTAGCAATCCCAAGGTCACATGGTTCGAGGCCACCAGCTACTCTGAGGGGGAAAGATGGGCAATCTCCTCCCATGTGATTAACTGCATCTGAAAAACTGCTGGAGGGTCAGCTATGGGTCAGTTTCAACTCAATGGTACACAAAAACAACAACAATTTTGTCTTTCTTTCTGGGTACCTTCACGACGATAGAATTACAGCAAAACTGTCACTTCTTCGAAGATGGAAACTTTTTTCTCATGGCCCAGAGACCTACATCTTAGCCCCATTAACCATGGAAAGTGTTGAAGGAAGTGACCTACCAAGGAAGTGGTTCTAGTTAGGAGGTGGCCCAGATAAGTTTCTGGTTCCCCCCTCTGAAGTTACTTGACCACACAGATCACTTCCAAGACCAGAAAGCAGTCCTCAGAACAGAGCAAGGAAACACTATCTGGTTCAAAATCAGGAAAGGAGTTTGTCAGAAATGCATCCTCTCTCCATACTTTTTTAATCTACATGCAGAAAAGATCATTGGGAAGGCTGAGATTTATGAGGAGCAATGCAGCATCAGGATTAGAGGAAAACTCATCAACAATCAACTTGTCAACGTTATGCAGATGACACAACCTTACTTGCTGAAAGTGAGGAGTACCTGAAGTGCTGGCTTCAAAAGGTCAAGAACTGGAGTCTTCAATATAAATTGAAGCTCAACATCAAGAAGACAAAGATTCTCACCACTGAACAAATTAGTAGCACCATGATCAATGGAGAAGAGATTGAGGTTGTTAACAGTTACAGCTTGCTCAACGCCACAATCAACACTCTGGCACCAGCAGTCAGGAAATCAGGAAAAAACTAATTGCACTGGGAAATGCTGCTGCCAAGGACCTCACCAGAGTACAGAGAAGCAACGATGGCAGTCTAGAGACTAAGGTGCACCTGATCCAGGCCATGGCCTTCGTAATTACTTGCTATGCATCAGATAGCTGGGCAATGAGTAAAGATGACAAAAAAAGAGTTGATGCCTTTGAGTTGTGGGGTTGGAGAAGAGTATTGAGCATGCCATGGAACACCAAGAGAACAAATAAGTCTATCTTGGAGTGGGTGAAACCAAGTTTCTCCTTGGAGGCTAGGATTTTGAAATTTTATCTCACATACTTTGGGCATGTGGCCAGGAGGGACCATCCTTGGAGAAGAACATCATGCACATAAGGGTAGAGAGACAGCATAGGAGAGAAAGACCCTGGATGAGATGGATTGATACAGTAACTGGAGCAATGGGGGTAGTGTGTCTGAGTCAGTGAGACTGGCTCAGGTCAGGGTAGGCTTCAGAACTGTTGTGCATAGGGTTGCTAAGCAGGTGATTCGATGGCATATAACAGTCGTTAACATCCATGGTTCTTCTGAAAGATGAAGTGTTTATACAAATATCTTTCTCACTTAGCCACGAGGGCTGGTTTCTGTTTTACTTCACCAATCCAATGTAATCTATTTCAGGACTTAGTATTTATAAATTATAAAATCCTCTGAATCTGTGTTCTCAACTTCATTAATTAAGTCACCAAGTCAGACCTTTGATTTCATTGGTGGGCTATAAATATAAATTTAAAACCAAAAAATATGTTAAAATAAATTCCAAGTTTTCAAATGCCTGGCTTCTTACCACCTGAAGATCTTGACAGTTCTCTCATTCTGATAAGATGGCATCATCTTGTACATCAGTAATCTAATGCTATTCATGAAGAAAGTGAGGAAACAATCCATATCATTATTTTTAATATTCTACTTTGAAACGAATAAGGATTCCTCACATAAAGTCTACATTAACAACCAAAAAATTATTGAAGGGAGCAATCACCACACAATCTTAACAATAAAAAGCACAAAAGAAGTGGAGGGGGATGACAAATTTGACCCTGCAGTTAGAGAAAAAGAACAGAAAACTCTGTCAACAAAATAGCTAAAAAGGATTAAG